CAGGTGTAACATAAAATAACAATAAATGAATTTAAGGAGCTGGCTTCTTTTTTTTTTTTTAACAGAAATCTTACTTACTGAAACATGGGTCATTATAATTACACTCGTACTAATTCACGTCGTTGGCATAATCGGTTCAAAGTATATCAGAAAAGTGAACATATTCCTGACAAAGTATCATCTAAGAGGGTTGAAGTACAAGTAGTGATTTTCGATGATAAAACCTGTATAGAATCTGTTGTGAAAAAAGATTGCGAGCAAAATTTTGATAAATTTCGTTTTACAAATCAGAATATAACTACTCAAAACTTTGGTACATTTGGAAAAGGTTATATACCAATTTCTAACAAGGTACATACATCTATTATAGATACATAAATTATTTACGCAAATTATTTTCTTTTTGTTATAGATAGTAATTAATTAGCTTTAATTTATTTGTAGCCAGTTGGATTTCTTAATTATTCTACTTCAAGCATATTTGGATCTAAATATATTGGAAACTCATTAATGGAAAAATTTGAATCTTCCACACCACAGTCTATCTTTGATGAGCCGACACGTAATGACGGTGATGATAACGATGATGATGGCAAAAAAAAGTAATGCAGAAGAAGAAGTATCTTTTGGAACCGGTGCAAAACCCTTGTTACATGAACAAAAAAGTTAGTTAAAATTTTAAACTTGTTCAGTCTGTACGAAATTAAAATAATAATTTTCTTGGTAGTATTTACCGGAGAAGAGGTTACTCGACACACTGTTAGGACGGAATTATTTCGTTTGGATCGCGAACATCAATGGAAAGATATGGATCGTGAGCATCAATGGAAAGAACGAAGGGTTGGAATGTTTAAACTTAATTATCCAAAGAACTATGAAAAATCACCTCAACTAAGTTTGTTTATTTCTTGCATTGTTATATTATTATGCTAAAATGTTTATTTAAAGCATTATAATTGTACTGCGATTTAGTCATGCGTACAGATGATTTACTGCGAGTGATTTTAAATATTGTTTATTTCACGGAATAAGTGTCGAACGATTACAAGAAAAGTTTGTGAGAATTTCGCATTTGAGGGAACTAGTATATTAGGTGTTTTATAACATAATGTTATAAATATGAATATAACTTTTCTTAATTTTTTTTTAAAAACATTTACAAGTATTAAATAATTAAGGCGTATAAGAATTACATTGTATATATGTAAAATCCGCAATATTCATCAAAAAAATTTTATTTGCCATTTTCAACCAATTCAAAACCGCGATAAAATAATTTTTTAAACAAATTAAACTACCAAGATTTTATTTAAATAGTTTTAATATTTATAAAAAGATTTTTTGATGTTATTTTTTATAAACAAAAGTTAACATTTTAAATTTAACCAAATTTATTTGAGCTGTAACATAATTACATGATTTATCACTAAATAGAATGTTAAAAAATTTAATCGGCTCAAGCTTGTAAAATTTGAATGGTTAATTTTAAAAAAAATGCACTATAATAATCTACAAAAATTGCCGATTCAATTATGTATTTAATGAGTACCTAAAAATGAATGCATAGAAAGTGTTTTGTTATAACGCTAAAATAAAATAAAGTCAAATACATGTAAGAAGTAACGTAATAATGCGATAATTTGACATATTTAGGTTTTCTAAAGCAATGTTTGGTTAAAGATCCGAATGCTGGCAAAACTTCTAAAGTTTGGGATTTGGAACAAATTTTATTATGTGTGGGATTTGAATAGGTTTTTGAAACTTTCAGTTTGGGTGACAAGTAACGTATATTGAATTGTCATTATTTTAGTGGTAGTACTTGAACGATACGCCGGTAAACGAATAGAAAAACATTAAAAGACCGTGTATTTTGACAAAAGTAATAGGCATATTATTATACGACACTATAGAACAAAATTGTATAAGAAACATGCAAGAGAAAGGTTGCGTTTCTCGTTGATTTATTATTTGCATGTAAAAAATTTGTTATATGTTTGATATACAAGTATTAACGATCAGATAACTGTTATCATACGGTCACTTCGACTAGATCCAGTAACTTTAATGATTCCATCATGTTCTAGAGTTCGGAGAATACTTTCAAATTGTTTATCATAAATTGGCTGCATGTATAATAAAGTATTTTTAATTAAACTGGTAAGATAATTATTTCACACACGGAGTAGGATCCTAAACAAACTTCATACAACTTACCTCATCTGATTGTGCTTTAAAATCTTCTAAAGCTTTTTTAAGCGATATGCTTTTTGAACTCATTTCCAACAACATCTTTGCAAAAGCGTCGCGCATAGCTTCAAGCACACGTCTTTCATGACTACCATGCCCTGTAGTAATTAAATCCATATCAATTC